AACACGCGAATTCGAATAAGAAAAAGTAATAATTTAAAATATTAACGGCCAGCACTTGACCATAAACCGTCCGAAGAGTAAACCCTACCTATAGTAATGTGCTCGGACGTTAGTACTGAAGAATGTATTATGAATGCCGTAATTCTTCAGTACCGAAAACTAAGTTTCAAACGTCAGTGTGAAACCTAGACACTGAGATTTGTGAACGATTAAAATGTGATCTATCAATTTAATTAACAGATCATCGTGCTATTGACTTATTGTTTCACTTTTGTTGACACAATAATTAACAACGATCAATCAATTCGAGATTCAATTTCTTGTTGTTGACTTTCATGACATGTGATAACAGCTAATTTACATTAGCGTGCGAACGACATTACACGTCTAAATCAGCTACCTATATTTTTAGCAGCAAATTTATATTTAAAATAACCCTTCCCCTGTTGCCCTTTTGAATACTCCACGGAAATAGCTCATTCTTGAAGTGATTCATTAGAAACAAGTCTACGGCAAGATACAAGAACAAATAATGATGTTTGTGCTTTTTACTTAAAAGTCAATTAATAATAATAATAATAATTCATTTATTTAGCAACCACACAATATAGAAATATCAAATTGTGTGAATACATAAACACACATCGTGGCTCTAAAAAGGTATCCATTCAGCATAGTGCCGAGATGTCATTAAGATACCTCGACGCTGATCTTCCATGGACACCAGATGAGGAGAGGAGAAGTCACTACTGTGCACCATACATAAATATTAACATGAAATAGTCATCCCATGCATTTGTTACCTATAGATCTCAATCGAATTTATGACTTAGAAGAAATAACGATAGGTATAGTTATAACTGTTATCAGCTGTAAATATATTATTATTATTTTACGACATTTTTGTTTTTTTAATGCAATAAAATTGAATTGTCGATTTAAAATATGTTTGATGATTCATTATTTGCTCATCAATAAAGATGGATTTTACAGATCACTCTCTTTATTCGTTTGAAATAATGATAGTTATTTTGATAAAGAATACTGAACGCGCCAATAGACAGGTACTACATTTGGAACCTTTTGGATATGTTAACGATCCAAACCTAGCCCAATTAACGAACATATTTCTCTAATTGATTTCGAAGTCTCAAAGAATTGCTCAGAATATTGTCATTTAGAGAACTGACAATAAGCTTCATTTAGTTAGTGAAACTATAGGTGGATCACTAGGAGTCTTACACTCAGTTGCACAAACATCCATATTGTCATTAGTCTTAAGCGACGTTACCGATAAAAAAAATTAAGAACATCCATTAGAGCTTAAATGTGTGTAACTGTTACCGTAAGTAGAACTATCAGAAAATGATTAAAAAAAAATTGTGTTACCTTCCCTGTGTTCTACATTCTTCCTCTTTCAAGTTGTGTATCAGACTCGTCTATTTTAATATCAGAAAAAAGGGAAAAACAAAGACCAAATATTTTTTTACCAGTAATATTATAAATGCATTTTTAAATTTTTTTGCGTACATAAATGATTTCCTATATATTTGGGAAGTTATTTTGTATCCCCCATTTTATTGTGAAGTTTTAATGGTACTATCAAAAATTTTTTATATATCTATCAAAAATCTTGCGATATAAAAAACTATCGAATTTTCTATATCATTTCTTCTTCTATATAAAACTAGAGCCGAAAATTCAACGAAAGAATCCACGATATAACGGATGTCGATTTTAGGAATACAAGCATACAAAACAGACAAATAAAAAGATTTGCCACTATTAAACATTCTATGAACTGATTCTGAACGTGTGGGGTGGACGAATAGTTCGAGTATTGGATGATTAATTTTGACAAATACATTGCTCAGATTCCAAGATCAGTAGTTAAAGTAGTTCCAGTATTATAGAGTATCTGAGACAACGAAGGCACGACAACAACCAGACCTGAGACAACAAAGAACAATCCATTTTCTATATTAATTTCTTCACTTTGTTACGGAGGTGATTGTGGTGTCGTCAAAGATTTTATGGTTATTAGAAGTTAGAAGCTTAAAATTATAGGTACTTGAAATAAAACTATCACGATCTTTTGAGTTTTTAACAGGTTAGTTTTTTACAGATGTGTTTCAGAGCACTGAAAATTGAGTTACGTAAGTTATATGACCTCACATAATGACAGAATTTATAATTGTAACTGATTTACGGCATTTGAGTCTATAGTATATACACACCTATTTTTGAAAACTATTTCAATTCAATCCTAAGTTCCTAATAAACCATGGGAAAATATTTAAAATTTTTATTCAGTCAGAAAGTGACTTCAATTTCTAAGTTTGAAATTTGAAATATAAAGTTTAGACTTTACATTTCAAATTTCTGTAAAGTTTAGACTTTACATTTCAAATTTCTCGCGAATTGGACGAAAATGCTGCACGCCATGTTCTCTGAAGTTATAACGTCACTTGGTTTATAAACAAATTTGTGGCTATTGGTGTCTTACATTTTCATGTACTTTTTATCATAATCAAATAGTTTTACGAAGATAGTAGTTATATTTACTTACATACGAGATTTGCAGAAAAAAACTTCTGACGATAAGTGTTTACTATTGGTAAATTTATGCGATTTCCCTTTACAAAACCCTGTTTCATGGTAATATTATATGAATAAAAATGACTTTTTCTTTATTTCGCCATTACATAATTAAAAAAAATAACCTCTTAACGTATTTATCTTTCTTCAAACTTATTTTTCTTTTTTGCTTACGAACCGAATGACGTCATATCATGGCGGCTACTCATTCGCGTAATATAAACACAGACTAAAAGTTGAAAATAGTTGATTTGAATATTAAAAAATATTTCTTTATTTTATCAACAACATTATCATTATCAGACTGCTTATTGCCTAACTTATATCAGTGGTATATTTATTTATTTTTTTGTTAGTGATAGATCTCCTTAGTTCCCCTGTATAGACAACGCTAATGTTACTAAAACAAGAGAATCAATCATCATCATCAATATCTTCCTTGCCCAGTACCCGCTGGGTCGGCGCAGTGTGTCATCTTGTTCCACTCTTCTCTGTCAGCCGTCATCAAGAGTAAGAGAATCAATATGACAATCTTCATCATCATCAGCAGCCCTTTTTACGTCCCCACTGCAGGGGCTCAGGCCTTCCTTATGGATGGCTAAGGAGGATGGGCCATGACCCTCCACGCTGGCCCAATGCGGATTGGAGGATAATCATCTCTATGAAAATACTTTTGATTATTAAAATATTGATCTATTTACGTAAAAGTAACGTAGATATCATTTGCGCACGTGATAAATTTAATCATTGCGCAAGTAGTTGTACATTTAAAATTGAGTCGATTGTGTGATCATGATACTATCTCAGATTGATAATAAGCATTTGCCCTGATTAATCGGCTTTGCATGTTTCCATACCTACAATATTTCCAGAAAGTTAGATCATAATTTCCACGTAGGAAATGGGCTTTTATGATATCTTTTGTACAAGCGACAGCCTAGTAACCTGTCGCAAATTCAAGTACAAGAGTCATAAAGGTGTATGTAAAATATTTAGTCTAACTATCATACATTGCATTGTCAAGAGAAGACTTCGGAGAGAAGATGAAGTCCTGATTTCAACAAATATACGTATTTTACATATCATTTTTATATTTGTGATATATGGTATGTTTCTTTTGTCTATTATCTGATAATAATTGAGTATCGTTTACAGTTTTTATGGATCTAATCGATAGTATAAAGATTACTCTTTATAGGCTACTTCAACACGATCATCACAACAAAAGTGGAACCGAATTTAAATAGGATCTGTAGATTTTTTTGAATGAAAATTTAATATATCACGACGTGTCATAGATTTTCCTACTCTCGTATTTTTTATACTGTTCACTTACAGTAGACAGGATGGAATTAACGTCACTACTCTAACATCAAGAATCTTTATTTCTGCATTAATATAAGAGGTTTGTTGTTACAAATAATTATATAGTTAGCAAACATATTTCCTGGAATCTGGCAAGCAGAAGATTATTTCTTTTTTTTATTTGGGTCATCAAAGAGTTTAACAATAGCGTTATAATTTACGATATGATGTACACAGTTTTATAATTGCAAGGCCAGCACCGTTAACCACAAGTTACTATGAGTACTCGAAAGTTGCATATGTTATCAGCTTAAACACTTACTAACAAAAAAGAACACTACACAAACAAAACTGTTACAAATATGATAATATGTATATTACTTTACTATGATATGGCATTGCGATTAAGGTCACTTATTCTTTCTTTATCTAACTTTTTGAATTTTTCTTAATTTAAATTGAATATATCGACGTCATGTAAACTATCATTATAAAATTTTGCTACTCGACGCATTGGAGATCTCTTGCCTGCATTTGTGCGACATTTGGTGTAATTAATTTTATTTATTAATTCAGTACAGTCATTCTCGCTGTGACATATATTAAATAAGACATTTTATTATATTACTCGTATTATAATAATTAAAGTATTACAATCATACGCTCGCAGCACTTCCATGATTCTTTTGGATTTTTAGAGAAGTGGCTCAAAATTTTTTGTTTATTATTCTATACTCGTCACTTATGTCTGAATGCACTTTCGAAACATAGATGTTTGTGTTTTTTAGAATATTCAGAAAAATAAGAGACCACATCTGTAACGCCCTTATACTCGTACGTTAAAAAGTTTACAAGTGTATTCTATTGAATATGAAAACAGTATTTATATTTGAATAATTTACATTTATAATACTAGCAAGTTACCACCAAAAAGTCAAAATGTTATCCATGGATTCATAGTTCCAGACCTCAATGCATTTTGCATGACACCTATAGTACAAAGTTATTTTATAATGTAAGGATGTTAGTAAAATCTTTACGTAGTGAATGAAAGCCACGAAATATATTTTTTATAAACTTTATTTATTCGTACTTAAATATTAAAAGTAGATTATATCACGAAAAAATACCAGACATTTTAATCACACAATCTTTCACATTAGAGACCATTATAAAATATTCACCCTGTTTCCAAAAAAAAAAACAGTTTGTCTTAATATTATCAGTTACAAACTACACGAATTTATGTTTTATTTTCTCTTAAGTCTTTTTGTATTCCATCATCCGTCGTCGAAAGCATAGGTTTCTCTGATTCAGGCTTATGTAGTATTTCTAATGGTATATTTCTTTTAACAGGTACTTCAACATTAGTTTCTATAGCTTTCTGACCTAATCTTCTGGTTTTTAAATACGCGAGAATCTGTAATAAAGCTAAAAATATCCCTGGAATCAACCACGCGTCAGGGTATTTGTTAACTGTTTTGCTATATAAAAGTGAATAAAGTGGAGATGAGAATGTTTGAGTTGCACTTTCTAATGCGCCAAGCACACTGTATATTTTTCCTGAAAAGAAAGAAATATAATTCGTTAACAGCTATATTTTTAATGTCTCAAAGCCGCAAGATGTCGTTATATCTATTAGCTGTGGGTTATTAGCTATTATTGAACGTAAATGTTTACTATTAGATACGTTTCTTAAAAACCATGACTAATATTATTAGGCGTAATTGTTAAGAGTATCTAAGTAATCCGATCGAAAGTAATGAATGGTAGGTACCGGATTTTCTGGTATATAAAATGTTATCATTTGTTAATTAATAAAACTAATTATGAAAATAGATTCGCGGAAAAGATTTTCCACTTCGTTAGGATTAGCTTATCGGACTACGAGATTCGTAGTTGATGGAAACATTTGTTTTACGATGCCATTTCCGTTGGTAAGATTTTTTTTATACGATTAAATATTTTTATTTAGAAGTTTTGCAGAGTGAAAAATGGTAATTCTAAATTTATATATGCATGTACTATTTACACTTAGACACAAAGGCTGGTCCATTGATCATCTCTCAAATAAGAAGCCAAACACTATGAATAATTACGGGTATAGTATTTTTTTATATTGATGAATTGATGTGTAAATGAATTAAAATAATAATATACTATGAAGTCGTGACAGTCGTATAGCTTCGCCCTATTCTTATATATTTTTTTTAAATGAACAGTAAACATCTTGTTAGTATGCATCAATATCTATTATTTTAGTTATTTCTAGTTGTTTGTTATGTTTGCTATACATTAATAATTGTGAACTCTAAAGCTGATAACGCTTATTATATCGTCTGATTATGCTAAACTAGGTAACTAATGCCATTTTAAATAACATTTTAGACAATTTTGTCAAATCATAGTATAGTTTCTGTCAGCAATCTATTTAGTTGTCTTAAAAACACGTCTAAAATTTTAAAAAATGTTTAAGTTGATTTCGCGCAATGAAGATGCCGATATCACAATCAATATCAATGTCGATTCATGAGAATTTGTGATAGTATCAATACTATAGTGAGGTATTAATATTGGTATCAGAGGGTGACTCCTCTCCACTCTCCGCGAGAGGAGTCCCAGTGCGGCGGACAAAATCGGGCCCTCCATGCAGGATACCGGATCATCCCATCCGCGTGTAGTGAATCGCAGCGGGTTTTGCCAGGTAGGCCAATCACACTCTTGGAAAGCCTTGTTTAAGGCTTAAAGATTTCCCATACGTTATTAAAAAGGGTACTATTGGTTGATGTCAGCTAACGATAGTAGACTATGAATAGGCAACTCAATCACACATACTTGAAGCGGGTTTCTATGATGCATGAAGCCGGAGACATTGTTATTAGCCGATATGGCTCGGGCTCGCATGCGGTACCAGAAGATATTAGTAACGCATAATATATCTATGGATATTTAAATACTTGTATGGTACGAATACTAGCATGCAATATAAGTGACTTTTATTAGTTATATCGCCTTCGCATACTGTTAAGAAAAGGAGCCTTCATAACAAAAAGTCGAAGTACAACTATTATGATACTCGTATCTAGCAGCTTACACAACCAGTCAGAAGAAGAACTTCTTTTTTTGACCTAGGGAAAATGAATTTCACAGTATCCCGTATCCGTCACGTCAAGTCTGTGGTATTCACCCCTTTTTTGTTAACGCAAGGGAAATGCATCTTAAGCCTTAAACCAGGGCTCCTCTTCCACCCCGCCCTTAAAAGGGCAGGTTAATGTGGAAGCCCTACCTGGTAAAATCCGTTGCGGTTCACCTCACGCGAATGAATTGAGTCTGGTATCCAGCAAGAAGGGCCCGGTCAACAAGGAGGGCCCGGACGGTACTCCCCCGCTGAAGACGGCGACTTACCCGCTAAAAACCTTGGGCATGCCCTCCGATGGCAGTGGTGCCAGGGAACACCAACGTATTTACCGGGCCTAATACTCCCCAGTATCTACTAAAACAAATCTCTCGACCACCACCAATCATTACACTACACGTGTTTCGCCTCTCCACGGAGCATCCTCAGGAGTTGTTAGACTAACTGGATTGAAAGTTGCTAAGTATCGTAACTGTTATAGCAAAGGAGTTCCACAAGATAACGCCTGAATACACCAATGTAAGTGTATTTACACTGGTCGATTATGTTCAGTTCCTCGCTTTGATTGGTCGATCATAGTTTTATTGGCCTATGAGATGAGCGCGTAGGAATCGCCCGTACTCTGCGTGCTGACCCCATCGACTAGTATAAATGGCACATGATTTAATTAAATACAAAGGTGATTTAACTACGTACCTTGTTCCGTTGGAAGTATTTGTTTGTTGAGTAAGGGCCGCTGTACCACTTGAGATCCTTGGGATATGATTCCGATCAGTGGAACTAAAAATCAGTAAAAGGAATAATTAAATATTCTTGATACTTGGCTTGATGCTTAAATTTTGACAAAGTCCGTCGTCCGTAGCCAAGTGGCTTACACCTATTTCAAAGTGCCGCCATCTCGGAGATTTCAGGTTCGATTCCCGAGCAGGTCAATTTAGTAAATGGACTGTTTCCATTATGTCCCGGGTGTGGGTGGTGTAGTACCTTCGATGCCTCAGATGCTGATACGGAAGGTTTAGTAGGTCATCATGGAATCTTAACAATGTATGTGATGTTGTTTAATGTTTATTTATTATTTAAAAATACAAAAATATAATTTAGTTAATAAACAAAGGTATACATTTCTTATCCAAAGATAAATGCCATTCCCGTTATAATAATTACACTACTTAGTTCTGTAATCAAAGGTTAAATATGTTCTATTGTATTCATAATGAATAGGAAAGAACCAAATTAGTTAAAGTACATAATTTTTTTTACACTTTTTAAATACTATTTTATTTAGCTCACGATCTGTGTATAAGTTTTCATCTAATAAAAAAAAAACTTAATTAATCCATCGTATTAAGGATTATGTTGAGTTACAAACATTAAAAAAAAATTTCTTTATCATAAATAATTTGTTTCTTTTTTTAGGTTCTTTGCTAGGAAGGTACCTCTATAAATTTTTATTATATTATTAATTTTGTATATTACGTATGTTCTTGTGTTTGTATAACTGTATCCAACATATAATGTGTAATATTTAATATGACGATGATACGTACTAAAGAACACGAAGAGAGTAGTCGTTGCGAGGACCAGTCCAGATTGGGCCAAGACGTAGGAAAAACAACTCAATGCGCCCACCACTTCATCGGAGAGTTTGAATCGTCGTTGCAAAACCATCAATATAAGAAGTGTACCTAAAAGAGAGAATGAAGAATAGAACATAACAAAATATTTTTTTATGTACACACGTTTAAATTACAACTACAAATGTAGAGAGAATATGTTATTTGCTTTAGCTAAAGTAGAGCCACCGAATACGCAATATTTTTTTTAAAACTTGACGTTCCCGTCTCTCTAGTCAATCACAAAACTTCAATTGGAATGTATTCTAGGCGGTATTCTAGCATTTGAGCTTTCAAAATAGATCATACAGACCATTAAGAACTAGTTACGAGTAAGCAGTTTGTTGTCAATAGACATATCTGTATCGATTACAGATCGTAACAAGGTTTATTTGAGTTTTATTTAAAATTACCCACTCTAGTACTCTAAGTACTATACTACTATTTTATTATTTTTTTTTCTAATTCTAACAATAAATTTCGATATTTCAGATGAATTAGCTAGTTGCGTTCAGCTAGTAGTCTGATCGAATTTCAGACCGTTTATTGAATGACATCATTCAATTAACTGGTTCAATTGGGTTGTGACATATACACAGTAAGTTTTTTATTATCTTGAAAAAAAAATGACAAATTTGGGAAAGGTTTTTTTAAATATATGTGCAAAAAATAATCTTTTTTTTTAAATAATGTTAGGGTAAATATAGTTGTGGAAAATATCGTCAAATTAACGGATATAGTGCATATGTTTTTTTTTTTGGGATAGGGTCAGACGAGCAGACGGATCACCTGATGGTGAGTGATTACCGCCGCCCATGGACACCTGCAACACCAGAGGAGCTACAAGCGCGCTGCCGACATAACATAACAATGCATAACGCATAACAATGAATACCGCTAATTTGCAGCATGTCATTAATATGCAGAAGAAACAGTGTAGGTGATAGCACACTTCCTTCATTTATAGACATAAGGTCTATAAATGCTGGTGTTCCCCAAGGAAGTGTGTATGTATGTATCAATTGCATGTGAAATTTTATTAATGATCAAACTAAACGCGAAAGTAACAGAATATATACAAAAAAGCAGCCCACTCCTGCCTGCTCAGCTGACAGAAATGCATTGATAGATGAAATAATTCATATATACCGACTTATTTTATTCCAGAGTAGAGGATATAGAGCATATAGTTATAGTAATATTAGAAACATAAAGTTTCTAGAGTAGATATTTTGTTTGTGTAACCTTCAGTGTTTTAACTTACCGATAAAACTAATAATGTTCCTATAGGCGAGGAAACTTCCAAACATCACATCGTCCCAGTGGAACTTGTACCTGTAGTACATGTACGCTAAAAGCACCTCAGCTGCAAATGAAGTTTTCCAGAGTTATTCAAACCATTATCAAAATAAAAGATTTACATTTTCTTATAACGTTTCCATCTTTTCTCCAGAGAATCTACCTGTGCTGTATTAGCTTTGTTTATATTATAATCAAAGCGTATTTGATTCCAATAAATTTTTGTAGCATTTCAAAAACAAATTGAGTTGGAGGTCTCAATTATTTTGTGCCATATATGTTTGGTTTGTCGTAAATATATAAATATATTCTTATTTTTCAAATTTCCCCTGCATTTAATAAAACTTATTTTAAATCTTTATAATTCTTACATGTTCACTCAGGCCCTTGATCGTATATTTCTTTCCAGAGAGTAAACCTCTTTAATATGTCATATTTCCACAGTTGATTTTTGAATCTACTCTCAACGCTTCAAGGTTTAAATCAAGTGAAGAGTTTTAACATTTTTGTATGATTTAACGTGCTGTTGATTATACAACTGACCTGATAAAAACATTCTATCCGCAAGCGCAACAACCAACATAAGCAGTATGACGGTCCTCTTGTAGCCATCTCGCTTCCGGAATAAGCATTTGACTGCATTGATCGGCAATCGCCAATGGAAAGCTGATACGGTATTCTCCTTATTCACATTCACGTCTTTCACAAACCAAATCACGTAGATCAGAGATGACAACTGGATATAAAATATATTAATTATTGTAGATCCTAGTATTACTGCCTAAAAGTGCAAAGCTCAAAGCAGAAGCTAAATAGACTTTGTTCGATGCTCATGATGTTGTGACTGATTTAAAGTTAGAATAACTTGTCCTTTAAAACGGGCTTAGACGTTGTACCGACCAACTTAACATTTTTGCCATTTTTGAAAAAAAGGAGGAGGTTCGCAATTTCACTGTATTTTTTTCTTGTTTGTTACCTCGTTCCTTTTTATTAGGTGGATTGATTTCGATGATTCTTTCTTTATTTATATATCTTATACATATTTATTTGAAAGCTAGTGCTTGCCGTGTCATCCCATTTTAATTTGGTCCAGATATGGCAATGGATTCTTTGTGAAAACCATATAAGTCTTAAATTTGTATTAAGTATGCGTGATGTTCGTTACTCCAAACTCAAAATATCACTAAAATGCATGAAATAAAAACTTTGAAAAGTGAAACCGACTTGAAATATAAAAAAGTGAAAAAAATACTTATCATAAAAGGTTTTTTACCTCAAGTACAATAGAATAAAATTGTCTACTACACAAAAGCTTTTATCGTATATTTATAAAAATCACATTTTCAATAATCAAAATAAATCATTTAATGTTAGGAACTAAGTATCTTGGGCTGGGTTTATACGTTATTTTAAATGAATGTACACAGGCGGGGGAGAAAATCGGAAGCAAAATTATGATGCGGATTCCTGTTATCCAGGATGGATAGATAAATACGCATTTCCGAGTATCCACCTTAGGGTGGCTGTTTCAGGGTGGATTTTTTCACTTTATTGAATCTGATGTCGGTTCCATCTTTTTATGTTTTAAATTAAAAGAACGCAATAATTCCGAATCATTTTTTAATCTTAACCTAAAATACTTAGTTAAACCATTACTCTAGATACAGGTCAAATTACATTTTAGTGAAAATTAGATATTAACTGCATTGATGAAGTGATTAAATTGGCCGAATGTACAATAAAAAATATGAATATTGTCTACAATTTAGACCGATTTCCATATTTGTGGACACATTTTATTAATCCATTTCTATTGAGTGATTTTATCAAAAATAGGGATGATGACTAATTTTTGTTTGTTCCGTCAGGTAGAGTGTTAAAAATATTGAACACGTATTTTTTTTATTTTTTTCGTAATCATAAAATTACGGCGTTACATTGAGTTGAAATTTCGCATGACGTCACGTTAGGGTACGTTTTCTACTCAACTTTGACGTAGCGAGCCCCCACTCCTCAACTTTAATGCCTGTTATCTAAGCTATTTCTTGTTAAATTGAAGTAAAAAAAATACGTATCTAATATTTTTCTATTATCTGGCTGACGGACTAAAGAGAATTTTTTTTACCCAGTCATCATTCCTATTTCGCATAATAACATTATTAACATTATTTCAAGACAGTGAGCATCGAATAAGTCTGGTAAGGAGTAATCAGAGCTAGTACCTGCAGCAATAAAACAAGAGGAAACACACCGTAGAATCCAAGATGTCGGTAAAGAAGTGGACCACCTACGGCTCCCAGCACGTGTGCGATTTGTATAGCGGCACGATGAGTGCCCATTGTACGCGTGACATCACGCCCTGTAGCGTGACACACCTGAAATGACATTATTAGCATTGTTTTTATTAATAATTCAAATTCAATACCATTTATTCAGTCTAGTTATACTAGCAAGTGCTTATAGTAGCTACACAAGTGTTTATGTCGAAATCTATGCCATCGATTTGCAAATCTACCGCAGGAGACCTTGTATTGAGAAAAACCAGCAAGAAACTCAGCAAAGGCTATTTTTCTCCTTGTTTTATATCATACATAAAAGTTTTATTGGAAAATCACTTCATAGTACTTTCATTTTTCATCAAACGTCGACCCGACGACACCCACGATAATCGACATCATGCACAGGTCTTGGAGAGCAACGAACCGGAAGACTTGGCCATATTCTATTTATTTATTTATTTATTAGATAACACAACATACATTAATCAAAATATATATGAATAATAAGTAACAACTGTGTAGTACTAAATTAATATCCTAAAGGTGTTTACACAATGAGATATAAAGAAAAAAGAACTATTATTGTAATTTTTTACTAATATGAAAGAAAACAGAAAGAATCAGTATAAATCAATCAAGGATGATTAAGAAGATGCGACATTTAGGTCTACCACAACTTCCCTAATATTTTTTTTGAATTTAAAGAGATTGGCATTAAATATGTCTAATGCCTGATTTTGCTTGACACGATATTTAAAATTTTAACAATTTAACCCTGAGCTTATTACTCTGTACTTGTATGTAAATATGATCAGTGCACATCCGAGGTTATTATAGTGAAATATTAACAGCAGTGCCCTAATTCTGCTAATGTTAGCACGTCATAATTATGGTGAATAAATGGAACTTCAATAACAACTCTTCGACACAGTTATTGTTACTAGATAATAACAAACACCGTTGATTTGCGAAAAATACATTGTACTAATAATAGGTATTGGATTCAGGTAGATAGTAAAATGGTAAAATTAAGACACAATTAAGATGTGAATTTACCGTAAACATTAGTGGAATTGCTGCCCTGGTCCTTTTCCAGTTCTTTGTATGGGTGTTTTTAATTCTTTCATATTAACATGCAGAAGCAGTATACAATATCCGTATAAGAAAGTTTAAATAAAGCCTTTATAAAAAGAATTCGGATAACTTCCTAGAGTCATCAAAAAATATTAACTTACATCGCCAATGTGACTAAACGCTGCCGCCAACAATAGACCAAAATTGCCACCAAGAGATATTGGGATCTGCACCATATATAGAACCTGAGTAGTGTTCGCTCCAGGAAATATTAGCATCAGGAGTACGCCAGTGGTCATAACGCTCATACCAACTAGAGGCATGATAAGGAGTGGTTTCCTGCGTCCGCTGCAGTCACTCCATGGTCCCACAAACAGGAGAACAGCTGTTGATATCAGAGAACCAATGAAGCTCCGGCTCACATTTATACTAGCGACAACGATTTGACTTTCCGCCTGAAAGAAACAAGAGGTAAACTTAATAAAAATCCAAATCCGTATAATTTTCTAGAATATAATCTAGATAGTGATTAGTATAGTATTGAGATATTTATTACATTAATGTTAATGCAGGTACATTAAGTGCAGTTTAGTAGTATTTTTGAAGTAAATGTAACCTAGCTAGATTCGTTTATCGCCCTCAACACCTCTATACTAAATTTTATGAAAATCGTTGGAACCATACGAGAATCACATCACCAGCCCTTTTACGTCCCCACTGCAGGGGCTCAGGCCTTCCTTATGGATGTTTAAGGAGGATGGGCCATGACCCTCCACGCTGGCTCAATGCGGATTGGAGGGTATTAACGACTGCAAATGCAGCCGGGACCAACAGCTTAACGTGCCTTCCGAAGCACGGAGTAGCTCGAGATAATAATTTTTCGGTCACCCATCCCGTGACCGACCCTTGCTAAAGTTGCTTAACGACAACTATCGCGGGCCGCGGCGCTTATCCACTACGCCACCGAGCTGCTGGTTTAAATGTCGCTGGTTTAAATGTATTAGATTGTGTTAGTATTCTGTATGTCTCTGTATTAAAGAATTACTGTATTCCAAAGACATTCAGAATACTCGACTTCCTACAAATATTAACGGGAATAAGTAATTCTAATTAACAGTACAATTACAACAGAACATTTTAAAGGAACTTCACATTGAAGTGGTTTTGGATTAGGAAGTTAGTTTAGTACGGATTCTAAATAACTATGAAACTATATTACAACTCCATGGAGCTGAATTTATGAATTTAAGATTTGTGTTTCTGTCTGTATCTTGATATTATTTTTCTATATGATTAAATAAAATAAAATAATTGGCCTCAAACACTCAGAGCAAGAGGGAGAGAAATAGTTATACTAGTATTTATTTCTTATATTCATTCATTTATGGTAGGTTAATATTTTCGTGAGTATCATTAAACACAATCCTCAATCTCAGAACTAGTAAAACAATAGTCCAGTATTATTCTGACATGAAAGATGCTTCTGAAGTTATGTTTTGTAGTCGTAGTTTCATATCATTATGTCAAGTTCATTAGGTAAAGAACATTATTCTTAAGAGTTCACATTTATGCATAGGTATACTTCTATCTTTCTTTAGATAACTTAGGCGGCACACATTAACTGTTGTTTTATTATGACAAAGGCATATTTATCTTTAGAAACTTGGAACAGAACCTATTGTGTTACTAATATTAATGTAGATGTCTAATGTATCTTATACGTTCATTAGTTGATGAGAGATAAAACGTTCATAGAAATATAATAAACTGTCTATATGTAAATATATAGTAGTTAAAGAACTCTTTATCTAGATAATTAAATACATGAATTTTTTTTTAATACAATAACTAGTATGCTGGAAAATTGTTGTCGTTTCTAAAATCAACATCTTTAAAGCTTAATATATTTCTAGACATCCCATTCTACACGGAAAATTATAATTTGCATGCTTCTTAAAATCTTATAGAAACTAAAATCAGTTCTTTTGATACTCGCAATCCAGGTGTTCTCATTTTTTCGCTTACTAACCTTTACTTTTTAGGGTTCCGTAACCAAAGGGTATAAACAGAATACTATTATATTATGATATCGCCGTTGATCTGTCTTTCACCAGGACTTTAAAAAAATCGAAATCTGATAAACAGTTAATATTACCCTTAACAGAATCTCCATCTGACTTCAAAGGAAGTTCCATGGATATATAAACCGCCTTTCATTCGGAAAACAAAAAGAGTTATCAAATCCGTTACACAATACTCTACAGATTAGATATCTTTCACCAATTACACAATTAATATTTTCATTTAATATATTATAATAAAGATGAGTAATACATATATTCACATTACTGTCGGATTTATTTTTTCAAAATTTTATGTTGTTTGTTTTCCGCAATATCCCTACCAGTCACACTTTATATACTCTACACAAATATTATTTTTCGTCACCTTTAAAATAATAGTTGTTAAATGTTGTAACAAAAGTACAACTTACAGTACATCTGTATACTGACACAATTATGATTAACGTATATTTGTGGATTTATAATACAGTTATAAATCCTGAGTAATTTAACTAGAATCGATATGAGGAAGCCGCTATATTGCTATCTTCTTTTTTTCCTTATCTATCGCACCTAACTTCCGACGTCTGTATTCCTTACCAGAGTTATTAATAAACAAAGTTTAGCGTTAGAGTTAATTTACGCTGAGACTGCACTTAGTTTTACTCAAAATTCATATTATTAAACCCATATATTATTTTGTCGTCCGATCAGTAATTCTCCACTTAATTTTATTAAGCTTACTAACGCCTACTATTCACCTGATTTTTTTTGCGCTTTTTATGGATAATTGTTTGTTTATCCATAAAAAGAAGGCAAATACAGGTTTGTTGTTTCCAAAGGAGTTGTTTGAAATTTTCGAGTTAAATACATTTTCCAAATACATTTTTAGATTATTACTCGTAAATTTATAAAGCCTTCTTAAATGTGATAGTTTTCCTATTAAATTCATTAATACGAATTATAAACGTTATAAACTTTATAAATGGGTGTGATCTCCCCACACCCACAATATTTTCTGAAAAACCTATCTTTTCCTTAACCTAACCTTTCTGAAAAACTCTCCACGCAATCGGCAGATAAAAAAAATATCTGTATAAAATTAGAGGAGGGAAAATTATTTTTTCATGTTTTTATCACTTGTCACGTTGACAAGTGTTTTACCACTTGTAAGCGTAATTAAAGTCATGCTAAAATACACCTTTCTAATACAAATCGTTTTTGAGCTTAACCGCAGACTAACCAACAGACAGACAGAGATGACGAAACTATCAGTATTCCTTGTGACTATAGAACCGCAAAATTGATAATGAAAGCAATATTGTTTGATAAAAATCGTAAAATCAATAAAGAATCAAACATTATAGAAACCAAAATCACGTTTTTATAATACAGTAGCGTCTTCAAGCGAACAGCTATATGTAACATTTTATTTTTTTGTCTGATTAATAATAAGCCAGTAAATTATGTTATTCGAAAATCGCTTAATTGGAAACGAGAGCTACTTTGTTGTATGATAACCCCTTCCAAAGGTACAGTAGCGTTATCTAGTGATCAATAACGACTGCTAAATGTAACATTTAATTTTTTGTATGGTTAACAATTCTCCGAAAAATTATATTACTGGGAAAATCGCAAAATTGAATGCGAAAGCTACTTTTTGTTATAAACATAACACTAATAATGTATATACATTATTTAATCCTACGCAGGATTAAGAAGAGAGCTTAAATTATTTAATAATGGATTTGGAAAAGGATGACATGGAATATAATTAAAATTATAAATTGAATTGGAAACAATAATTTCTATGGTAATGATTTAATGCACTAGGTAATGATTTTACGAACTTTTGAATTTTTAAAGGGGATCAATTTCTTAACACTTGATTTTTGCGTAAATTTCACCGTTTACGCAGCGCACCCAAGGAAAGCTTTAAAAAAGTAAAATATTTTGCCATTACTGCAATTTTTTATCGCCGCTCCACTCCTATAAACAATAGCGTGATGTTATATAGCTTTTCTCGATAAATAGACTATTCAACACAAAAAAAAAATATTCATTACGTTTCAGTAGTTCCTGAGAGAGTCCAATCAAACAAACAAACTCATCAGCTTTATTATTAGTTAACATTAATTATTCCAGCGTTATTATTAGTTTACATTAATTATTATTATTACTTCGGCTGCATAAATCATAGCGTACGTCACCCGTTACGATGAGTAGTTTCGAAGTTATGAGGGAACAGATGAACATTCTTTCATACATACATACCGGCGAAAATCATAACCCTCCTTTTCATTTCGGCCTAGTTGGGTAAAAAAATAATGCGTTACTCACTTCAGCAGCACGAAAATCCTCGCCGACACCTCGGTCACAGATACTGATGTCCTTGTTCAAGTCTATTGTACAGGCAGTCCTTAAATAAAAATTCTGAAGAGAAGTCTGACCCAAGTTGATAGCCATCATTGCTCCCACTAAAGCAGGCTCCAGAAATAATCGGCATTTTCTCTTGTCTGAAATATTTGGTTTTTCTGCTAGAACTTGACTTGGCCTGAAAATGCGCGGTTTGATAAGGTTAGTTGTTTTATTAGACTTCATTTAGGGAAAGATTACATATTCCTTTTAAAAAGCTTAACGACACAACTCGCTGTCTGCACTCTAGGTATTAGGTTTGCTACTTATGGGAATGAAATGTTTGTTCAGAGCCAGTTGAATATTGCTATGAGATATATCATTATTCATAAAGTCAAACGACTATGAATAATGTTCTAGTTAGTCACTTGATCCATGACATTAATATTGATAATACTCGAAATAATAAGTGATAGAAAATATTGATATAAGAATTGTCAGTTGATAATCTGTTCTACTGTAAACTATATTTTTGCAGCTCGCACAGAAGCTCTAGTTTTGGCAGCTAAAAAAAATTGCAAGAGAACAAACTGTTATACACAACCTAGCCAGAATGATTCCAGGCATTTAAACATGTAATAATACAAAAACGAAGAAGGTAGAAGAAACTGTCTGATTAAAAAAACCATAATACATCCACAGACATCATAATTAGAATATTGGTGATAACAATACTTCTGAGTTAACCAATGGTGCTAATTCTGTTGTACCACAATCTAAACTAAATTGTTAATTTGGGTTTGTTTTCACGTTATTTCGTGGTCACATGTAATCAATTAAATATAATTGTACTTCTCTATAAGTGCTGTATTATAATTATCTTAGTTATTTGAAGAATCAAAAATGCAGATTGACAAGATTAAATGTAGTCTAGTTTACTATTATCTACCTAAGTAAGTTTATTATTATTTAAATATTTATTAATACATGTTGTATTAGTAGAGCACATATTTACATATTGATAAAACAACTCAAATATGCCCTTATTTTGTTTTTCAATATGAGTATGATATGATTAAGAGTTAATTGAGTTAACAAAAGGAACAATCACCATTCCTGAATCTAAATCGAATTTCATTTAAATAAAGCATCTAAAGTGAAAACGAAATCTGTAACAATGTCAATTATGTTTGGTCTAGTTATGATAATAAACTAGTTTACACATCTACTACTTCAGTCTATAACAAATTTTCGATAACCTATTTGTACACAAGTGACAATCAAGATTATTTAAATTATTAAAAGCATGTGATCCTCGATACTAATGATATCTAAACGATACTTTACGATAATTTTAAATTTTTGTCGATTTTGAAACGACTCTGCTGTATTATTATTATAAAAGTAGAAACTAATTAAAAATGGATTGTTTATAAAACTTACCTCAATCTTTGCACTTCATTAATATCTGAACCTTCACCCATATTAATTTAATAAACTATATCACATTTGAAATCACAAAACGAAAGTCAATGCACGACCGGCAGACACGTGTGAATGGCAGTAAGAGTCTTTTACTAGTGGACGATAAGATAATGTTATGTTGCAAATCAAACAGTCTACTAAGTATACTACTTAAAAACATGTCTCATTCCAGGGATGATGTACTAGAGAGAGATTATAGGTTATGGGTAGATGAAGGATGAAAAGTATCGTCGAAGTTCGTTACGGTCAATTTCACTTGATTGATTCAATTGAATGGTTCAAGATAACGTTATCAGTTTTGAAAGGACGAATGATTACTATCAAACACAGTACGAAAATGGATTTTATCGTCGGTGAGGATTAGTACAGACAAAAGGACAGAGGTGAAGTGACTTAATTCTAATGCAATGTTAGTCCTAATCGCTGTTAATACGACTCGGATTCGTATTTCAAATAACTTTAGAGATGTTAAGAATCTTTACGTATTTATTTTTTGTTTATTCTGATTCAAGTCGTATTTGGTTAAGAATAAGAATGATTTTAGCGTGTTTAATACTATAATTTAAAGATTTAAAAACTGTTTCCTTACCGGTTTCACCATTATCCAATAGTTTTTCATTAAGTTTCATAATTGTCAGTTAAGATTAACACGTTGATTCACGAACCTGATCTTTTATTTTTGATATGTGATGTTTTTGTGAGATGACGTCATCGTATATGTAACACTGTAGTTTCAGTACTTATCTAACTAGGTACTTTTCGTTCACATATCGAAGCGTATCTTAATAATAATTCTGTTAAACAATACGCTACGTGATGTATATCACATACAAACTTCATAAAAATACGATTTGAAAATGCATAGGTTTTTATGAGAAGTAAATATTTTGAGCTTGTTTAGAACTCGTTGACCTTATGGATCGTTAAGGAGGATGGGCCATGACGCTCCACGCTGGCCCAATGCGGATTAGTGGGTATTAACGACAGCAAATGCACTGGGACCAACGGTTTAATGTGCCTTCCGAAACACGGAGTAACCTGAAATAGTATTTTTTCACCATCCCGTGGAGAACTTTGACAGTTTTGAATTACCTGACGTGTTGTTGACTGTACTACAGATATAGACTTTTGTAAATAGCGTAGCAAGATATATATCAGTGATGGTTTGCTCATGCGTCATGCTCGTGAACGCTTGTTGCGTATGGAGGTGAGTCTGCTCTGGACTACTCAATTTGTCCATTTTCTTTATTGTGCGTATTGTATATAATTATTTATCAATGAGTCTATGTTTGACTCAGCATAATAAGTTGATCATCAAAAAATATCTGTTTTATTTATTCTGATATTGCTGTAATGGAAAACGATTCCATAATCTGATGAAGTAACTTTTTATTTGGATTCTTTGTATCAAAAAAAAAAAAATCAGGGAAAAGCAGCCCTTGCTGAGCTCCTTACCAGTTCTTTTCAGTACAAGTCTCCCGCCATTCCCCATCGCAAAGCTTTCGACTTTCACGAGTGTTTGTAATACTCTAGACTCACTGCCTAGGCTGAATAAACGATATTGAATTTGATTTCGAGAATTCTTAATAAACTTGAAATGGGTTGTATCATGTATCCGATAATCTATCATGAAAATATGATTTTGTTAACCTATCTAAAGATTTTATTCCTGAATTGATAATATGATGAAGTGAAACCGACATTAATGATTATCCTGCACCTTATCTCAATACTTATAACCATGACTTTTAAATAGCAACCTTAAGAAAAATTTACTGCTTTAATTTACTGGCGAAATTTTTAACTAGCCAAAAAAAAAAATTAGGATACCTAACCTCTTTATACTGATATAATAAAGAGGTAAAGTTTCTAACTTTGTTTGTTTCTATGGGGTAAGCTACGGAAATACTGATCCGAACTTATTTCATCTCGGAAAGCTTCTTCATACGCAGGCAAAGTCGCTGGAAAACTGTTAGTCTTAAATGAAATCGTCAAAAGTTAGAATATTGTTTTGTCGATGATATCACAACTTATTATGGCTTAACTATAAAGTAAAATTTAATTAAATTGCTACTTACTACAACATGTAAAATCAAAATTTTTATAGTTAAAAAAAGCCAAAATTCAAACCTATATCTACTGCTATGTTCGAGGAAATTACTTTTCCGCTAAGTCACCGTGGATATCGGCTGCATATCTCTATTACCGATTTGAGTTGCCTATCATCGTGACTTAAGGGCATTATATCACTCAAATCAGTTCGGTTAAAGTCGTATGTAGAGCAGCCTTTATAAGTTATATTTATATAAAACATATATGTCACATATAACTTAAGGATATAATTATGTTGATCAACATCGCCAACAGTCCTTTCACGGCCCCACTGCAGGAGCTCGGTCTTCCTTATGGATGATTAAGGAAGACACAACATTATTGTGATAAAAATCATTAATTGTAGACTGTTTTAATGTGCTATCGAATTCTCTCGGTAACGGCTCATTAGTAATACATTAAAGTTATATCAAAAAGGTTAAGACGTCTTCTACAATCTGTTTTGTTATTATTTATAATTATAACTTTGAGTCTAAGATTATTAAGAAAAACTTAAAATCTATTACCTCGTGCGAAGCATCCTTACAAAGCTCGGAAGAATACTCTATACAGCTCATTGTTGAGTTTAGTTTGCACATTATTACTTATTAACGTCAGTGGAAGATAAAATATCAGCATAAAAAGAGCGCAAATAAAAAACTTCAGTAATAAACAAGTTGTTATAGTTTTATAAAATAAAAAGAAAATATTAGTTGTTTTTCGTTTATTGACACGGGTAGTCATTAGAATTGAGACATAAAACTTATATTTTCTAACAAGCATTTGAAATGTACAACGCTATGACAATAAATAAATTCTTAATGAAAATTACTTAAAAAATCCTCTTTGTCCCTGGCACTCTGAAATGGGACTCGAACCCATGACTTTTCGCAATCCGGGCAACTGCTCTTACCACTGAGTAACCCAGGAACTAACAGGGTTGACGAATTTTTCAAGCACTTGTTACTTTTTCTCTACTACAGAGCGTACTTCCATCAATTATCAGGCAATCCACCCAAACAGCCGAAAGAAATATTTTTAAAAATATTTAAATTTTAAATAAAGATGAAAGATGTTTTTTTTTTCGTTTATGAACACTAGAATCAGAATCAGTCATCAGAATCAAAAGGTAACTAAAAATATATATTTCCTAACAAATATTCCAATCTACTGAAAATTTGCATTACACATGTATTACAAACAATACTCACTACATATTGTTGATTTAAATAATGAAAGTTCGCTCTTTTCGAATTACAAAACCGTAAATTATGATCCCTTTGTTCGAATGATAATGAGCGGACAAAATCAATTTCACGCACCTTTGTCTTAGTTAAACTAAATCGGTACGCTAATTAATTATAAAGAGTCACAGTCAATGTACGACACTGTACATCGCTCATCAGGTTTGTATAGGCGTACCACCTTAGCAATTTTCACGGCCTTAGCTCTAAAATAAAACAGTTGGACATCTTGTTTAGTGCGCGGTGCGCGTATATTATTCGCGTTATGCAGTTACACGTAACACGCACGTTAGGTAATAAAACCGACTGGAATGAAACCTTTTTTAATATAGTGACGTCAATAAAAACTGACGAATCTTTTCATGGTGATGTGTGACGTTTCATCGGCCTTTTAGCAGTTTTAAGAAATATTTCTTTGGCTTTTTGTTCAGTGTGCAGATGAGATTTTTTGATGGTGCATATCTTTGGATTGTTCTTTCAAATAGTAATAATTGTTTTTCAGAATCAAAGTGAGAGAATATGGTTTGCCTAAAGCTTACTAAAGGTGATAATTTAAAATAATCAGCTCAATCAAATCAGATTCTAATGGATGTAAGAGATGTATTAATAATATTACAATATAATAGAATAATACGGAAGCGAAGTTTAGACTGTTACTTAATGCGTATTTGACAATTAGATCTTTATACTCTACATATGCAGATATTTAGACTTTTTGTGAATTGGATATCTTAAATCGACAGGGTTACGATCGCCTAACTCTCTAGCCATGATTCTAACCATCTTAGCGATGTTATGACGATATGTTGTCTCGTGTCACCACTACTTTGACAAGTCTTTTGTCGGATACATTTGGAATCCATAATCATCATTCTTTATCGTTCGTTCGTCATTACTAAAGTAAATGTCAAAGTAGTAAAATGAAACGAAACATCGGCATAATATCGATAAGATGTCGTATCCTATGGCTAGAATCATGATAGTAGAAAGACGGCCGCACCCTTGTTCTTCAAAATGGCATTTAAAAAAATATTAAATTATGCCCAGATCCCTAGTCTAGTGTTTTATTCTACGACGTCAAGCTCAGCGATGTCATAATATGGAGGTTAATTGATTAAGCCTTCTTCAAATTATAATGAAGGTTTTATTTCATTGAATATTTTGCGGAATAGCACTGCAGACAATTTTACAGTACTTATTCAAGCAACTCGAAATTGACTCAAAGTACAGTGGATTAACAACAGCATTTCGAAAACTTTGAACTTAAAATTCCTTTTGGGATAGCTAGAACAAACAAAACTTGTTTTAGATAATTAAATTATAAAGAAATATATTTCCTTAAAATACTAAAATAAAACTTATGGTTATCAGTTAGTCGAATGTCTGTATTTCAGTTAGTATCCATTACTAACTAATATTTATGATCCCTCATTCGTTTTAATTGAAATCGTTATCTGTGTCTGTAAAACAAGTTTTGTATCAACCAAGTTACAGGCGGAAGTGTTTTTATACAGGAAAATGAATTCTAAAGTAATAATGCTTAAGAAACAATTTTATATAATACTGAAACTAATTCAGTCTTGCAAAACGACCTTAATCGGTTAGACGGCGCGGAATATTTCAGCTGCAAGCAGTACGTAGTTCAAAAAAGTTTGGAAGTGAAGTATTTTAGTGACTGTGAATTATCAATTGTGTATAATTATGGTTTATTTGTGTTTCTACTAAACTATTTCTTCTGTTTTTAAATCAAAACAATTGCATTAGAAACCGGTGTTAGATTTGACCTAAAATATTTTTTCGTAAGAAGAAATCATATCATTTTATGACAAAAAAAATATAATGAAACACGAGCACTTCATTTTAAATTCTCTTATTAAATAAACAAGAAAATTATAAAAATATACAACTTATTAATAAATATTGAAAGTTTCCTGTGTATATCAAACTAACATAGCAGTTAGAAATTAGTTACCGCTTACTACACTTAAAGTTACTTGTAAAATTTTGACAATGTCAATGTATCTTTTTATAAAAATAATGTTCTTTTTTAATAAATTAGTGGCAAAGTTTCTGTGATAATATGGCCTGTTCAAAATTGTCTATAGCATCGAGCTGAAGTATTAGTTGCGACACATTCTGTCGTACCCTCTTCAAACTGATTCTTGGCCTCTTGGCTTTTAGATCGAGTCGTAGTTTTTGTCTTGTTATCTACATTAACAGAAAGTATTATAATGCAGTGTAATATCATATATACCGTCAAAAAATTAAACTAAAATTCATGAAATTATTATTTCAGT